TAGACACACCTAATGTAAATACACTTAAAAGTATAATATTTATGAATTTTTTTTTAAAAAAATATACTAAATACCAAAAAATATAAAAAATACAAGAATTTAGTACATTTTCGTATTTTTGTGTATTTATTAATTTTTTAAAATATTTTTTCACAATTTTTTTACTATTTAGATACATCTAAGTAAAGTGCATCTAAAAAAGTAAAAAAATTACTTAAAATTTATAAAATATTCAATAAAAACAAAAAAACACGAAATATAAAAAACTCAGTTTTCAAAAAATTGAATTCAGAAAACTGAAACTAAACACACTAATAATAGTATAGGATTGAATAACATATATTTTTAAAAATTAAAATATCTATTATCACAATCACTTTTTTGCATGAATAATTTGGTCGATGTATTCTATTACATAAACTATTTTCAATCATCAAGATGAATCCAAAATAGGCTCCATCAAAATACTAACACTCCAATTCCTAGTTTGTCAAGGGTTTTTTTATAGGTCATGCTAATGATAACTTTAAGAACAGTCAATAAAAAAAAAAAAAAATGGAATACAAAATATTTATAATTATAATACACTTTATTTATATATATATATATATATATTTTGTAACACTTATATAAATTTAAACAAAAGGTTTATATATATCTATATATTTTTTATACACATATCAAGGCTGATGACAACCCTTAAGGTTATCTTTTAACGTTTGTTACATTTTTTTCTTCTCAATCTCAATCTTAGTCATTTTTGTTTTTTTTTACTCTCTCTCCTTAAACCCTCTCTCTCTAAACTTTTCTAGGGTTTTGTCGGAAGAACGTCGTTTGGGAAGGGAGAGGGGCCGTCGGCGGCCAGCCACCTCTTCCTCCTTCCTCCTTCCTTCTCCCCCTGGTTTTTTCTTTTGCTTGCTATAAATAAGTTATGGGAGCTTGTCGTCCCACTTCTCTTCCTTTATGGGAGGTTTTCTTCCCCTCTTGGTGGATGTTTTCGTTAGGCTTCCCTCTTCCCCTCCCGCCATCGCTAGATCTACCTTGTTTCCCTACCCGCCGCCTCACGCCGAAGCAGCTTTAAGCATTGCGCCACCAGATCTACTCGGATCTGGACCACCACCACAGATCTGGCCTTGTTTGGGTTTGAGGTCAAGCTTGATCTTGATTTTTGCTTTGTTTTTTAGGTTTTGTTTGTTTTTTTTTTGGAGTCCTTTGTGCTTGATTGTAGCTTACACTCTCTGTGGTTGCTATCTATGATTTTTTTAGACATGCTCTAACACCGATTTGATTGGCTCTACGTCCCAATATGAGCACGAGCATTGATGTGCGTCTAGATAATTTTCATAGTTTTTACCTTTGCGCTTATTGTAATATTTTCACTTTGTTTAGTGTTTGCTCTTGGTGGTTGGACTCTGTAAGTGCCGTTTGGCTATCCCTTAATGGAAATTTCTTCTGATAAAAAAAAAAAAAATTCTCAATCTCAGTCTCCTCTCTCTTGCATACACAAATCAGATTAGATCGTAGAGTGAAAAAATAAAAGAAATAGTTATATTTCACACTATCATATTTGGATGAGTAAAAAAGCAAAGAAAAAATATATGAGCGAGTATTTTTTATTTTTTTATTTTTTAAGAGACAAAGTATTATGAATATTTTATAACCAATCAAGTTGTTTCTCACAAATACTCATCACTTTTGATGACAAATAAAATAAACTTAGTAAGAGATCTATTTCTCACAATTTCTTACTCAAATCTCATCATTTATTATTATTTCTCACCAAATCACCCAATCCAATCAGAGTGTTAGGTTTCGAATCTGGGTTCGGAAGGCAATATCAATGATTTGGGTTTCGGATATGATTTCAAATCTGGGTTTGCTATGATCACAAACCTGATGATGAAGATGAAGATAAAGAACTCGACAATATTGTGCATTTCTTGGAAATTTTGCAATGCCAATTTTTCTGGGTTCATTGTGATCACAATCCTGATTTGATAAATTTTTATTTTTCTGTAAATGTTTTTTGTTCGCATTTTGAGTATAGGAGAAGACCGAGCTAAGGATAGTTCGGCCTTCTGTGGCTCGGTATAGCCAAGTTTACTTCGGTCAAAAGGAAGTTCGGCCGTAAAGGAAACCATCCCACTTGGTTTGAGCAGTGGGGAGGGTGTAAAAGGATAAGCATTATCCTTAGGAGAATTAATCCTAGGAGGACTCTGCATGGAGAAGTACAAGTCCTACTAGGATTGTGCCACGGGAAACTTATAAAAGCCTACAAGCATCACCTTGGAGGAGGTAATTGAACAAAATCTTTCTGAGAACTCTGAGCTTTGTCTATTTGTCAAGTTTTTCTGACTTAGGCATCGGAGAGGTTTCCGGCACACACCCGCCGGCTAGCTCACGTTTGTGTTTTCAGGTGACAAAGCGACGTCGTACGGAGGAGCGTGGACTTGGTCAACAGGATTATACGAGGAGAATTATTTCCTCCCCGTACAATCGATATATTTTTTATACACATATCAAGGCTGATGACAACCCTTAAGGTTATCTTTTAACGTTTGTTACATTTTTTTCTTCTCAATCTCAATCTTAGTCATTTTTGTTTTTTTTTACTCTCTCTACTTAGAGCCTCTCTCTCTAAACTTTTCTAGGGTTTTGTCGGAAGAACGTCGTTTGGGAAGGGAGAGGGGCCGTCGGCGGCCAGCCACCTCTTCCTCCTTCCTCCTTCCTTCTCCCCCTGGTTTTTTCTTTTGCTTGCTATAAATAAGTTATGGGAGCTTGTCGTCCCACTTCTCTTCCTTTATGGGAGGTTTTCTTCCCCTCTTGGTGGATGTTTTCGTTAGGCTTCCCTCTTCCCCTCCCGCCATCGCTAGATCTACCTTGTTTCCCTACCCGCCGCCTCACGCCGAAGCAGCTTTAAGCATTGCGCCACCAGATCTACTCGGATCTGGACCACCACCACAGATCTGGCCTTGTTTGGGTTTGAGGTCAAGCTTGATCTTGATTTTTGCTTTGTTTTTTAGGTTTTGTTTGTTTTTTTTTTGGAGTCCTTTGTGCTTGATTGTAGCTTACACTCTCTGTGGTTGCTATCTATGATTTTTTTAGACATGCTCTAACACCGATTTGATTGGCTCTACGTCCCAATATGAGCACGAGCATTGATGTGCGTCTAGATAATTTTCATAGTTTTTACCTTTGCGCTTATTGTAATATTTTCACTTTGTTTAGTGTTTGCTCTTGGTGGTTGGACTCTGTAAGTGCCGTTTGGCTATCCCTTAATGGAAATTTCTTCTGATAAAAAAAAAAAAATTCTCAATCTCAGTCTCCTCTCTCTTGCATACACAAATCAGATTAGATCGTAGAGTGAAAAAATAAAAGAAATAGTTATATTTCACACTATCATATTTGGATGAGTAAAAAAGCAAAGAAAAAATATATGAGCGAGTATTTTTTATTTTTTTATTTTTTAAGAGACAAAGTATTATGAATATTTTATAACCAATCAAGTTGTTTCTCACAAATACTCATCACTTTTGATGACAAATAAAATAAACTTAGTAAGAGATCTATTTCTCACAATTTCTTACTCAAATCTCATCATTTATTATTATTTCTCACCAAATCACCCAATCCAATCAGAGTGTTAGGTTTCGAATCTGGGTTCGGAAGGCAATATCAATGATTTGGGTTTCGGATATGGTTTCGAATCTGGGTTTACTATGATCACAAACCAGATGATGAAGATGAAGATGAAGATAAAAAATTCGACAATATTGTGCATTTCTGGGAAATTTTGCAATGCCAATTTTTCTGGGTTCATTGTGATCACAATCCTGATTTGATAAATTTTTATTTTTCTGTAAATGTTTTTTGTTCGCATTTTGAGTATTCAGATTGTTGATAAAATTTGTGTTTGTTGCTTGAAATTCTGTGACATAGAAATCTGTTTGTTTTGATAATGCCAACTTGGCACAACAAATGGCATTGTCAAATTTTGGCAATGGCAAGTGATATATATAGCAGACCATTGGGATGGTCTTATGTGTTGGTTGGCAAAGGAAAATTGGCAGGCCAGTAGTAAACAAAGGAACAAGTTGGTTATGCTGTCAAGAAGTACTACCTTTTTCAAAGGAGACATGCACTTCTTTGTCACTATAAAAAACAGAGCACTCTGTTCTATGATTCAAGGCAATAGAGCAAACAATATTGCCAAAAATAAAAACAGAAATAACTACTCTGTTCTACTGTGGTTTTGCAGCTTAACAGGACAAATTGAGGGTGATCCTCCCCTCTCCTCTCCAATGCAGAGCAAGCCAAGCAAAGCCAACTCCATGAAAGCAAGGCCATGCCAGCCAAGTTTGAGAGTGACATAGTGGTAGATTTCATAGCCATAATCGTCAACAACTGTAACTCTGATTTTTATTAAAGGATCTCCATAATTATATATCTCAAATTATGATCTCCAAGTATTCCATTTATCATAGTTAAAATTCAGTGCATTTATTATTATTATTATTATTATTCAGCTTGTTTAGTTCCAGTTTTCAGAAAACAGTTTTTAAAAAATTCTACTTTTTTATTTTTCGTATTTTAATGTTTTCAATGATTTTTTTTTAATATTTTAAGCAATTTTTTTAAAAATTTTTAGACACACCTAACATAAACACACTTAAAAAGTATAGTATTTGTGAAAAAAATCTTTAAAAAATACACTAAAAACCAAAAAATACAAAAAAAAATGAAAATTTAGTACATTTTCGTATTTATGTGTATTTATTAATTTTTTAAAATATTTTTTTATAAATATTTTACTATTTAGATACATCTAAGCAAAGTACATCTAAAAAAGTAAAAAAATTACCTAAAATTTTAAAAATATTCACTAAAAACAAAAAAAAAAACACGAAAAATAAAAAACTCAAATTTTTAAATAATTAAATTTAAAAAACTGAAATCAAACACACTGATTGTTATTTTGAACAGAGTACATAAGTTCAATCATACTTTCAAATACTCATAATGAAGTGGAACCAACAAACCCAATCCACAAACGCAAACCACATATTGAAGGGGGAAAAAAATAGGGATACTTATGAGCTAAGCCCATTAAGTGGAGACACTGTGGAGCACCACAGTCTCAATAGTGAGTCCAGGCCCAAACCCAAAAAGCACGCCCCACTCAAGCCCATCACCAGTGGTCTTAAGCCCACTCTCAACTGACTTCTTCCTCATCTTATCCAGTATAAAAAACACACATCCGCTTGCTAAATTACCATACTCTCTTAGGACAAGCCTACTGGCCCATAACTTCTCGGGCGTAAGGCCCAACTTTAATTCCATCTGGTCCAAAATAGCTGGCCCACCAGGATGTACAATCCAAAAGAGAGAGTTCCAATCAGAGATGCCCATGTGCTGAAATGCCTCCACCAAGAGCTTCTCTATGTTCATGGAGACAAGCCCAGGAACACACTTGCTCGCATGGAATGTAAGGCCCATTTCACGAAGTTGTAACGTGATGGCATTTTCACTATCAAGGAGAGTGGTTTGGGCCGCTGAGACGATTTCAAACAAAGGTTTCTCAATCCCGGGCACTAGGTCTGACCCAACTATAATTGCAGCTGCACCATCACCAAACAAGGCCTGGGCCAAAAGTCCGCTGTGATCGGTGTCACTAGGCCCACGAAATGCTATTGCTGTGATTTCAGAACAGACGACTAAGACTCGAGCACCTTTATTGTTCTCAGCTAGGTCTTTGGCTAGGCGAAGAACTGTGCCACCAGCAGAGCAACCTTGTTGGTACATCATGAAACGATTAACGGATGGCTGCAGACTGAGGAGATTGGCGAGGCGGAAGTCAGCACCGGGCATGTCAACACCACTAGTGGTGCAAAAGACCAAGTGGGTGATTTTGGATTTTGGTTGGCCCCATTCTTTGATTGCATTGATAGCAGCCTCTTTTCCTAGTTTTGGTACTTCAACAACAAGCATGTCTTGTCTAGCATCAAATGAAGGTGCGTTGTATGTGCACATGTTTGGATTTTCCATCAAAATTTCCTCAGTCAAGTAGAAATAACGGTTCTTAATCGTAGTTTTGTCACCTGCAACACACAACAAAAAGAAGATTGGAAACTTTACTATAAGAAATTGAGAGAGATTGAGAGAGCAAATTAGCTCTGTGTTTTATATATCATACAAGAGACTGAGCTCTCTCTATTTATAGAGAGGAGAAGGTGACCGAAAGTGTATATTACAATACATTAAACTATTGCTAAAGCTTTCTTGTGTGCTGGTGTGTGCTAGTGGGTGTGTGCTGGTGTGTGCTTTACAGTGTGATCCGAACATGTGATGCTAGTGGGTGTGTGCTGATGCGCGAACGGGCTCAAAACGAGGAGTGAGAGCCATGAGAAACTGAACCAAGCGTTGTTGGTCACGGTAGGTAGTAAACAAGGCAGCATCCTCAGTATGAGGCCATGGAGGCTCAGAAAGAGCGAGTTGATCCCAAACATAATACATTTGGGAGAGGAAATCATTAATGGTCTGAGTGTTTTCTTGGCGCATACGGTGAAGATGACTCAGAAGCTGATATTGGTGAGCAAGACCGGTAGTCTGATAGCGTTCTTGCAAAAAATCCCAGATGGCCTTGGCTGGAGAGGAAGCAGACTCAAGTTGGAACCTACCAAACTGAAGGCTGATGGATGTAATAGAAGTATTGCGAAGCCAGGTGATGATCTGATAATTTTTACTATCCCAATCTTCTAGTCGGTCGATATATTTGGCAGCGGAGTCCGTGGTTGCTGGGACTGGTTTGCACACATCCCCAGTAATGATACGCCAAAGTTTCTTGCCTTTGAGGAAGCCAGACATGGCTTGTGCCCAAAGGACATAATTAGTCCCGTCAAGAATAACGGAAATAGGGTGATTAGAGGAATCCGGGCGATCCATGAGGGAAAAATAGCACAATGGAGGTAGAATCTGAAAAAACCGAGGTTACCAATGAATTCAGAAGGCCGAAATTAGTGGGAAAAGGAGTAAAACGACCCAAAATATGACCACAGAGGCACAAAAATGAGAGGCAAAGGGGCACGGCGCACGTTAGCAAAACAGGCCAGGCAGTATGTTAATTGAAACATGACCTAAAACTAA